CATGTATACCTAGAAAGCATTATTCTACCCTTAAACAATAATAAAATTATTAACGCACAAGAAATCGTTTACCCAACCAATAATAGATATGTTACTGTTAATCGATAATTCATGTAATCGTTTAGTACCAATAATCGTTTACCTAGAAAAATTATTTTCTATCGATGAAATGTTGCTGATGTAGAAGAAACACTCCCAACTCACTTAGATGAAGATAGGGGCTATAATCATTGATATGAGGAAGTGAAAATTATCCTATCATGATTGACAATCATGGATATATAGCAACCTTCAGTATTGCTGATCATGGGTTTCGTGAGACGTGCGCGCACGAGCAAAATCTCCTTTTTAATGCTAGAGGGCAAATAGATAATTTCATTTTCAGAATTATTCATCCTTAGGTTCCTAGGGACTTAGCAGATATTTCTTGAATTCATGGGACCTTAGCGTATTTTAATTGCTTTCATGGGATCTTAGAGTGATTTTCCCTAAATTTTATGTAAAGGTCTTTCATTGCTATTTCCCTATTTTTCTTTTTTAATTTAAACTTTCTTATTTTTAATATTTTTTTTTTTCACGTATGATTGTGAGTGTATGGTTGACATTTGCGTGAGTGTATGGTTCTTCATTTGATCTTTTTTAGGTTAAGATTTTTTACTTTACCTTTTTTTAAAAATTATAATTTAAAGTTTAATAATTTTTCCCCTAAAAATATTAAAGGAAAAATTAATCATTTAATCCTTATACTTTGGACTTAATTGTAACTTAGTTCCTGAACTTTGACTCATTATGACTCAGTCCTTAAAGTTTTGACTTGATTGTAACCTAGTCTTTGAACTTTACTTCTTACAATTTAGTCTCTATAGTTTTAACCACTTAAATATTAGTCCTTATATCTTAAAAAATAAAATCATAAAAATTAAAATTATGTTGGTCCCCTTTAATCTTTATAAATATTATAAATATTAAGAGTTACAATTGAGTTAAAACTTCAAAAGCTGAGTTACAACGAGTCAAAGTTCAGGAATTAAATTATAATTGGATCTAAAGTATAAGGACTAAATGATTAATTTTCTCAATATTAAATTAGTCACAAAAATATATACAACAAAAATCATGTCTTTTTTTCTAAGGTAAAAAGGCAAAAATACCCACAAAGTGGTCATCTAGGGGCACCTAGTATTTTAAAGTGAGAAAAAAATGGCAAAAATACTCATAACGTTACATAAGTAGGTGCAAAAGCGATCAAATTGTTAACTTTGACCTAATGTCATTAACGTTAACCATTAAATACTGACTGTGTATATCACGTGTCAATCTTTATTAATGTGGACTAATAAAGGGACAAAAATACTCGTGAAGTTATTGGCTAGGAGCAAAAATACCTATAAGGTTACCAGAGTTGGTGTAAAAGTGATTAATCTATTAAATCCCTTAAATATTAATCGTTTAGCTAACACTTAAGTAGAAATTGACTATTTTTTTTTGCTGATATACATAAAAAATATTCTCAAATGAATTTTTATAAATGTTGATCGATTATTTTATGAGTACCTATAATATTACTTTAGTAGGTGCAATAGTGACCAATCTATCAAATTCATGTCACATAGTTTCTTTCTATCACCACGTATCTCGCCCCCTTCCTCCCTCCCTCTCTACTCATTTTTCTTATCTGTAAAACTTGAGGTTCAATATAATGAGAAAGGTTATACACAATCGAAGATCAAGACTAAACATACCTCTTACGCTACCCTACCTCAAGAAAATTGTCACATCTTTAAACAATTTCATTCATGATAAGTTCAAACTTTTTAAATAGTTTTTGCCATTGCTACAAATAAACAAGTTATTTAATTTGATATTAGGTCAAAAATGACATTTTCTCACATAATATTCATACAATGATCGATTAACTTTCAGAGAATTTCATCTGGGAATATTTTTTATCCATATCAGCAAAAAAATGGTCAACTTTTGCTTTTGTGTTAGTTAAATGATCAACATTTAAGGAATTTGATAGATTAATCACTTTTGCACCAACTCTAGTAACGTTATAGGTATTTTTACTCCTGACTGACAACTTCATAGGTATTTTTACCTTTTTATTAGTCCATGTCAACAAATACTGACACGTGACATGCACGGTCAGCATTTAATTGTCAAAGTAAACAGCGTTAGGTTAAAGTTAATGGTTTGATAACTTTTGCACCAATTCATGTAAGGTTATGGGTATTTTTGCCCTATTCTTTATTTTAAGATGCTGGGTACCTTTGGCTGACCACTTCGTGAGTATTTCTGCCCCTTTACCCTTTGTTTTATATTTTAACTAACTTTTGAATCAAATTATCCAAACAAATTTCAATTTGTCTAACTGACCTTTGATAAAAAAAAGATATCCAAACATAAATCACGTTACATTTACAAACTTTTTTTAACCTCAATTTATTAGCCTCAATTGAGTTATAACTTTAGTTATAAATTTTTTAATCCGAACACACACTTATATAAGTGTTTCATGTCTAAACTAAGGTTGGGAACATCCAAAACCTTAGTTGAGGAGTTATCCAAACACCATTATAAGTGCGTATTTGATTTTCAGTTTGTCAAAAATTAGTTTATTGAAAGTTTATTTAACAAAATCAATTTAGTAAAAGTCAGTTATTGTAACCAAATTTATATTTGGATACATTTTTTCAGAAATCAATTTGGCAAACTGAAAGTTGTTTAGATTAATAATGATTTATGCTTTTAAAATATACTTTTAAATATGCAATAATCAAAAAGGATATTAATTTATGATAATTTATAATTTTTATTATACAAACATAATAAATTAGAAATGTTTGAAAAATATGAAAAAAAATTTGAAATGGATAAATAATACTCCCTCTACTAAAAAATGTAAAACATTTTTAATCGAATCTTATCCCTTAATAAAGTAGTTACCTACTTTCTAACTAACCCTATCTTTTCATATTTACCCTTATTAAACACACTATAATAAATATAAAGTTATTATCAATAGAGGCACTTTTGTAAAAAAGGCAATGATTATAGACTAAAAATGTCTTATAATTTTTAACATTCAACTCCTTAACAAATGACTTACATTTTTAAATGGAGGGAATATTAAAAATTTTATTTTTAATAATTTAGATAATAAAATTGTATAAAATAATGTAAAACTAAAAAAGTTGGGAAAACATTTATGATAAAATAATGATACAACAACAACAATAACAACAACAAGCCTTTATCCCACTAGGTGGGGTTAGCTACATGAATTGTAAGATGCCATTATGCTCTATCATTTATCAAACTTTTAAGAATATTATTAATTAAGAAATTGCATTCAATAACTTCCAATAGTGTTCTTTTAGGCTTTCCTTTACCCCTCTTAACAAGGCTCAAAGTTATATGTTCCACTTTGCTCATTGGTGCCTCCTACTATCTTCTTTGTACATGCCCAAATCATCTCAAATGATTTTCTATCATTTTTTCCTCAATAGGTGCTATCCTCACTTTTTCGCATACGTGCTCATTTCAATTTTTATCTTTATGTGTATATCCGTACATCCATCATTCTCATCTCTGCTACTTCAACTTTATACTCTTGCTGTCTCATTCACTACTATACAATATAGTCGGTCTGATAGCAGTATGATAAACTTTTCCTTTAAATTTATTAGACACTTTACGATCGCAAATAATTCCTTTAGCTTTTCTCCAATTAAACCACCTAGTTTGAATCTTATGTGAAATATCCCTATTGATTTCACCATCATTTTAAATAATGGCTCCCAAATATCTAAACTTTTTCACTTGAAGTATAATTTGACCTTCCAATTTCACTTTCAAATTACTGTTGACTAGTCTTTTACCAAATTTATAATATAAATATTTCGTCTTATTTTTACTCAGATGGAAACCTTTCAACTCTAATATCCTCCTCCATAACTCAAGTTTACAATTAACCTCTTCTCTCGTCTTTGCTATAAGAACTATATCATCTGTGAAGAATATACATTATGATAAAATAATGATAAATAATAAAAATTAAATTATTTTTATGATATATTGAACAATAATTATATAAATAATTCAATATATATTAATACTAAAAATTAATATAATAAATTATTTTTAATGTAGTGTTTTTTATGGGTTGAAAATTGATAAACATATGTCATCATTATCATTGAATGGAATGTTTTTCAATAGGCCTTCTTTTTGTTGCTATTTATGCGTTGTTTAGTTTCTTGTTTATTTTTTTCCTCATTTTCTTGGCTTTGTTTCTAGATGAAGTCATGGGCAAAAAAAAAGAATCAAATGACAAAAATATTGAAAGCACTTTCAAAAAACTATCTAAAGTTGAGGTGAAGAAAAAGACTTTTTGAAGCTTTTCAAATGTATTTTTAAAATGAACTTTGAGAAAAATTTTAGGAAACCAAACAACTTTAACATTTATAAATTTTTAAAAGTTCTTTTTAAATATAAAATGTGAGAAAATCAAACAATTCTTTAAATAGATTTGAGATAGACTTTTTAAATGAATTTTTTGTAGGAAATTTGAAATTCAAACAACTTTTTAGTTTAAATTATATTTTAAAAGGACTTTTGCTTTGTTGAATATGAATCCAACAACCACTTAAATCATGAGTTTTGATCTAGTACAACTCAATTCTTGATATTTTAATTTAATAACATTAAATTTTATTATAATCTAAACTATTAAAATCTCCATAGTTTTAACTCATCAGAAATTTTAATTCAATGCAGTTCAACAATAGTAGTCTTTATAGTTTTAGGAATTTAAAACATTAATCTTTTAAGTTTAAAAGAAAATGATTTATATTGTTACATTAATAGATTAAAGATTAATAGGTAGGGGCATGTTTGTTTTTCCATATTGAAGTCCTTCCCGTGGGACCTTGGTAAAATTTTGCCTTTAAAATTTAAATTACCATGAAAAGACAAAAAAAGCAGAGGAACCGAAACATGTCCGAGAAATCAGAGCTGGAATGGAACGCACCATCCCAGTAGAGAAAAAAACTAGATAACGTTCTTTCAGTCTTTCTGTCATAGCTTAGTTGCTGTGCGTGTTTGTACTATCATCTCGCTCACCATTTGATGTGGCGCGCTTTATACGCTTAAATTCCACCCTCTTCAATCATTTTCTTTTCCAATGGCTTCTTCTTTGCCTCTTTCTCAGCCTACTACTCACAGCTTCTTCTCTAAAACCCAGGTTCAATTTCCCTCTTCTCGCTCTTCTCTTTCCTCCACTTCCAATCTTGACATTTTCATCAATTTTGGGTTTAATCTAAAGCAGTTGAAAGGATTTAACCATGGCTCCCGGCGACCTAGCTTCTCATTTTGCCGCGACAACGAAAACAAAATTCGACCTATCAATGCTTTGGTTGATACAGGCCCATTCCCCTTGTTTCAACCTCCCAAAGTTGAAGAGTCGTCGTCTGAGGTAAGCTTCAGACCTTCTTTCAGTTACCCTTTCCTCGGTTGTCTACAAAAGCACGTTACTTACGACGGAGATGGGTCTGTCGCACGTATCACAGGATATTTCAAATTGCATTTAAACATGGAGAATGACATAGAGGTCCAAAAATATCAATTAATTCAATCTAGGTCTCAATTACCATATTTCAGGAATTCAGAACTTTGAGTCTCAATTTTGTATATTGTGATAAATTTATAATTTATTTTTTAAATTTTAACATGGTTGAAGAATATTTTTTTCGTTAAGATTTGGAATACAAGTTGAAGTTGTGAAATTGAGAGCCGAATTTGCAAATTCTTAAAATTGGCACTTAGGGCTACGTTGAATTAATTGGTCCTTTTAAAATCTGTCATTCTTCCTTTAAGCATTTTAGATTTTGTTCTGTTTATCTGTGTTAGTATCAGTGTTTCTCAGCAGGTTGTTGATAGGAAGTAATAAGTGGGACCTGCGTAACTTCAGTAGCTCAGAGTGATTAAAGCTGGTTTTGTTATCATTAGTTGATATAATTTCAAACATTTCAGCACCAAAGATAAGTTTTGTTGTCATTAGGAAGTCAACTATTTTCACCATTAGTACTTGTGGGTCTTTAATTTTGATATGATTAGATAGTGCGTCTAGCCTTTCAAGTTTGATGTGAACCACATTATTTATACCATGAATACTTCAGTTTCTTCTTCCATGAATACTTCAGTTTCTTCTTCTTATAGATTTAATATTACATAGATATATATTTTTGGAACTTGTGTCTTGAAGTTAGTAGAACAAGTTTTGTTACTGTTAGTTGTCTAGGGATCTTCAATTTAATTAAAATTTTCAATTATGGCTTTATGGAAATTCTTTTGTTCCTATAGTTGGAGCCAGCAGACCCTGATTTCTACAAAATAGGTTATATTCGAAGCATGCGAGCTTATGGAGTTGAGTTTAAGGAAGGGCCTGATGGGTTTGGTGTGTATGCTTCTAAAGATGTAGAACCTCTTCGCCGAGCCAGGGTGAGTAGCTTTTAGCATGCATACAGCATCTTAACTAATGCACATTAAAGACTAATTGTACATATAATGAAATTCAGGGGAAAAAATCAGTTAATTATTTTTAAAAAACCGATGATCTGGCCATAGTCCAAATTCATTTTCCATAATAATGGCAATTGTACTTGCTTGAGCAGGTTATAATGGAAATTCCTCTTGAATTGATGTTAACTGTGAGTCAGAAGCTCCCATGGATGTTCTTCCCTGATATAATTCCAGTGGGACATCCGATATTTGATATAATCAACTCAACAAATCCAGAGGTACTTTTACTTTTTCTCTCAGTACAGTAATTCAAAGCGAGATAGACCTTACTGATTTTGTTGTTTGTTTGTTTGTATACTATGAAGCAGCCACATCATCAAACGGCCATGTTTGTTTTCAAGACATAATATACCGTAAAATCTAGATCTACATTGATTTAATTGAAGATTGGTTGTCTAGGAGATTCATAGCATTTTATATTGGAAGGGTTGTATACTTGCAATATCTGACAAATGCATCATACCCAAATCTTAACCTTTTAAGCTCCATATTCAGTGAGTTCCCTCCAAAGAAAAATCACAATAGACCTCTTCCTATATTTGTAACACTTCAAACTATTATTTTCATAAAAATGTATTCTTTTCAAAGATATCAATACAGCAACGACAGCAGCAACAAGCCTTATCCCATTAGGTGGGGTTGGCTATATGGATTGTATGATGCCATTGTGATCTATCATATACTAAGCTTTTAGAAATGTTTTTTAACTAAGAGATCTTGGTTAACAACTTTTAAAAGTGTTCTCTTTAGTCTTCTTCTACCCCTCTGAACAAAGCTCAAAATTATTTGTTTTACTCTTTTCACTGGTGTCTCACATGGTTTTCAAAAATATTAGTTTACAACAAAAATTTGGAAAGAACTTGTGTGATTTCAGAAAGACTGAGCTTTTAGCCTGCCATCTATCATTTATTTTGGTTTCTTTCCCAATGTAGATTGGTCATTAATTTTCAAGTTTTTTCACCCTTTTTTAAACCCTACTTTTAAATATGTCCACTTGTGAGATAAGACTTTTTCTTCTTCTTGTTTTTGCTTTTAAATCCTACTTTTAAATGGGTATGGATGCAAGTCTTTGGGCGGGTGGTGGTAGCATCCTTGTTTAACATGCTGACATCCCTATGCATGTCCTTGCTTCATAGTTTTGGGTATGATTGTAATTTGTTCTTATACGTTTTTCGCTTGTGTCATGTTATTGATTGTTGAATGTGGTCAGGCTCAGCAGTAGCACTTGCAAAGTTAAAATCTTAGCCTTTTGATTCAGATTATTTTAATTTTAATTGCGTGACTCTTTTGTGACAGACAGATTGGCACCTAAGACTAGCATGCCTACTGTTATATGCATTGGATTGTCAGGACAACTTTTGGCAGTTGTATGGTGACTTCTTACCCAGTGCTGATGAATGCACTAGCTTACTTCTGGCAACAGAGGTGAGTACAACCTGTTTTATAATATTACATCTTAGTTTAATAGTAGTTTAAATTAGATGCATTCCTTTCTTTAGATTAGAGGGATTATGACGAGCATGCTGATCAAAGAGACATCAGTATGACCCTTTGAACAGCTGATTCAACTTTCAAGTTTTCCATTTATTCTATGTCATCACAATGTGAACATTATTTTTTGCTACTTACATATGTTGTTTGATAGGTGCAAGATGCATATTCGGGTGTTCTGCAGGCCTATCTTGTGGACCCTCTTCTTTAATTGATTCTTGTCTCTAATTGCATTTGATGGACTTCATCATGATTAGAGTGTAGGAGGAGTCTTGCAACTAATCTTTCTGTGAGATTGCATTTGACTTAGATGTTTTTCCTTGGGTAATGTATTGTAACTCAAGGTCGTCTTCTTCTTCTTCTTCTTCTTCTTCTTCTTCTTCTTCTTCTGGGTTCAAAACATGGCAAGATGAAACACAAAATATATGTTGCCTCTTTTTGACCTGAATCCTCTTTTCCAAGGTTTTATTGTCAAAGATCCTCATAATTCATGTCTATAGTTACGTGCATAGCTGCTTTTTAAGACTTACTTTACATGTTATAGTCTAGCATTATTTATCTGCTCTCCTGTTCATCTGTATACCCTGCAGGCAGAACTTTTGGAGCTGCAGGATCCCAATCTTGCATCTACCATCAGGAATCAGCAACGCCAAGCCTCACAATTTTGGGAGAAGAATTGGGTAAAGGGCCAATTTCCTGTTTTATTTTAGTTAATCTTCTGATAATAGTATAAATGCATGATATAGCTCCTGCTATAGCCTATTTTTGGTTGCTACGGGCTCTTGCACTACATTGCAAGTGTAGCTAAGCAACTTTCCTGTAGCTCAACTATAGCAGATGCTGCAAACAGTATAAAAGCCTGTCTCCATCTGGGCATTTTACTATGCAAAAAACAGCTCAAAAATTAAATGTAATGCCTTCTAAGGATAAAGAACAGCAATCTCTCTTTTGAGGAAGTTTTCAACTTCCCTGTGCTCATAAGTAGCCACGCATAATCTGTTTTCTAGAGATTTGTGTCTTTCTTTTCACTCACTCTTTTCTCTATTACTCACTTTTTTGTCATGGGACATAAGACACCGACTAAAAAGGACCTTTTTATTTATTTATTTATTTATTTTCATTCTATAGGCTTTGTTTTGTCTCCATATGAACTCTTCATCTTTCTCTGCTAGTTTTCTAAATTATGTTGGTATTGTGCATGTTTTGGAACTTATGTAACCAATACTTTTTCTACCCTGCCCCTAGCTGATTGTTTACCTTGTGATACATTTTTCATTCCATTCTATTCTTTTGGGAGCCATTATTCAAAATGATGGCGAAATCAGTGAAGATATTTCACATAGAATTCAAGCTGGGTGGTTTAATTGGAGAAAAGCTAAAGGAGTTATTTGCGACCGTAAGGTGCCTAATAAACTTAAAGGAAAGTTTTATCGCACTGCTATCAGACCGGCAATGTTATATAGTAGTGAATGTTGGGCTCTAACGGGACAGCAAGAGCATAAAGTTGGAGTAGCAGAGATGAGAATGTTACGATGGATGTGCGGGCATACAAGTAAAGATAAAATTCGAAATGAGCACGTACGCGAAAAAGTGAGGGTGGCATCTATTGAGGAAAAAATGGTAGAAAATCGGTTGAGATTGCAAGCATAGTTGATGTGTTAAATGCAAGCATAGTCTTTTTATTCTTTGAATGTGTTAATTGCTTGATTATTATTTTGTTGTCATTCTAATTATATTAAATATATTTGATGTGTGTGTGTGTGTGTAATATTTTGCTCAAAATTCCAATTTAGATTGCCCAAAGTCATGCAATGTTGCATTAAATGTTTTTGCCAATTCAAGTGGATTACTTTTATGCGCTATCAATATGACTACGCTCCTTACTATCGTGTTCCATCAACTACAGCACTTCATTTCTTGTTCTTAACAAATCTTGTCAATCTTGCTCAGCACACTGGTGTTCCCCTTAAAATAAAGCGTCTTGCTCGTGATCCCCAGAGATTCATGTGGGCAGTGAGTATAGTACAGTCACGATGCATTAATATGCAAATGAGGATCGGTGCACTACATCAGGATGCAAATATGCTGATTCCTTATGCTGGTAAGCTTATTTATCTAAAATTAGGCTGACTATATAAAACATTTTTCTTTCATAGTGTAGTTACGCAATTGTCATGTTCTTCTTATAACTTCTTCATTAGTTACAATTCAACTGTTTGTCTATGATGCGTAGTCTGTTTTATGCATTATTAGAATTTGATGAACAAGTAGCAGGAGATTGTGTGTTGAATGAGTTTTTTTTTTTGGGAAAGAACTACTTTCATTTCTGTCATAAATTCTGGTCAAGGATAGGTTAAGGGTGCCAGATATTGTTTACCTCATGGAGTCATTTTCTTTTATTGGGATTGAAGATGGCTACATGTTGGGATCAGTTTGGAGTTCAAATTAATGTCATGGAATCTGTGGTATATTGGGACATAGTAATCCTCTCATTGACAGTCTACTGAATGAACTTAAATACCCCTGACGTACTGGAGTTCTAAGTCTGACAAACACAACAAATGATCTTCCAAAATTTTCCCCTAAACAGAATCTCTAATTATGTTTACAATTTCTCTAAATTCTCAGTTTCCTTACAAAATCTCTAATTTCATATGGATTGTTAGCTGATTGGAATCAGATACAATGAAATATTTCCAAATTTGCCCCAGAAATAGAATCCCTAATGGATTGACAATAATCGTTCAAAATATAATAAAAAACCCATTGCTCCTTAAGCATGCCAAAAGTCCAACTCCGATGATGCTGCCATGCAACCTCAGTGGAAATAAAGGGGACTGTTAAGTCTGTAGCAGGTCATTCTTACTAATTTTATGAAGTAATGTTGCCTTTGAAAAATGTTCAAAATTAATTGTGGATGTTGGTGATCTCAATGTTAGCGGGCAAATAAATAATGGTTCTTTTCCTTTTCTGGTTAATCGAGGTTGTCAACCTTTATCACAGTTTATTTCTATGTGTTTTCCTCTCTTCTGTAGCTCTTGTAGTTAATTCCTTTCCTTTTTTAGGTTCTCAGCCATCAAGATCTATCATTCTCCTTCCCTGAGCTAATTCCTGTATATTTATTGCCCCGTTCAAATAAAGCAAGAATCCAGAGAATAAATTTTCTGAGTTTGCTATAGTGAAAGGGTTGCCGATGCTATATATTTTGAATAAGAACTTCTTGCATAGTGTGATAAATGCATTTATATTTCCTCATTCTGAAGTTCCATCTGGGTCTCATTTATCACAATACCTACAATTTTTCCCTTCATTTTGGATTCCTCCATTTATTTTTTGTGATAGTTTGTTTAAATGTGTTTCTGTCTAACTCTGAGAAGTCCATCTGCTTGTCCTCCCCACCTTACTTGTCATGGCTGATTGCTTTTCCGTCATTTATAATGACGCACTCTGTTTCCTTGTTACAATAAATGATGACTGAGTGAAAATCTTCATTTATGTTTCCTCATCCAAGATCTTGTATCATATTATATAAGTTGTACATCTCTCCATTGAAAAATATGTAGTTTTGTTTAGGGTAAAAGCATATGTGTCCATGGAAATCTGACAGTTGCAATGTGGAATAAGAAATAAAATCATCAGTCACAGAGGAAAACAAGTGAGCATATAGTGAGAAAAAATGGATGTCATACATTCCTAGATTTGTGGAGATATGCTCACTTTTGCGGTTTAACCTCTTGGCTATTTTTATTTGTTTGACTGATCTAGTCTTGTTTTCCAGACATGCTGAACCATTCATTTGAGCCAAATTGTTTTTTCCATTGGCGCTTCAAGGACCAGATGGTTGAGGTGCTTATAAATGCTGGACAGAGGATTAGAAAGGGAGATGAGGTAAACCATACCTTGCTTTTGGAAAACGTGTTTGATAATTGTCTAAAATTAGAGAAAGTAGAACTGTGTATAGAAAACTGAGAGTTGTAGCTATTGGTTTAACTGTTTAAGGGGAAGTATGAAAAATCATTAGTTTGCACAGTGACATCGTTCAATCCATATAACTAACTTTACATAGTGGGATACAGTTTGTTGTTGTTATTGTTGTATTAAAAACTAGGGAGAATTACTGTGGAGTCCCAGCCAATTAATTCACTTACCCCAAGTCCCAAGAAATGCACAAATTTTTCCACCAAGTATCAAAATCATTGTGCAGCTACAAAAATACCGCTATATTATGTTTTTTTTTTAAAAAATAATATCATTCATCCACCACTGTCTCTAGAACTCTGGCCAGCCTCTGCTGGAGACCTCCTGGCCACTACTGCCAGTGTTGGCACACTTGCTGGCGTTGGAGCTCCGGTGATTGGTGGTTTTTTTTTTTTTTTTTTTAAATTAAGGAAAGGGTGGTCTTGGGAGGATTAGGACCCAAGACCACAAGGTTTTCAAAATGTTTGGTAACCATTGGGCCACTTATGCTTATTGATATAATAGTGCAAAATCTTATAAAATATTTAATGGTTGGTGTCAACCTGAGTAGAGGAAAATGACAACTTCAATTTAAGTAAAAGACAATTCAAGTATATGAAAATAACAATTTGGTAAAAGAGAATAATAACTTGGGTATACGAAAATAACCACTTGGGTGTCAAGAAATAACAACTTGAGTTTACGTATATAACAACTTGGTTATTTCATATTTCTAGTTGTTATTTATTTAAAATCAAGTTGTTATTTCTTGACACCCAAGTTGTCACTCTCCTTTGCCAAGTTTTTGATTTTTTTTCCATATATCAAGATGTTATTTACTTAAACTCAAGTTGTCATTGCCGTATGCCCAAGTTGTTTTTCTTTGCCAAGTTGTTATTTCATCTAATTGTTATTTATTACTTAAACTAAAGTTGTTATTTCGTGGTACTAAAGTTGTCGTTCTCCTTTGTTGAGTTGTTATTTCTGTATATACAAGTTGTTATTAATTTTTTGTTTTACCAAGTTGTTTTTTCATATCCTTAGTTGTTATCTACTTAAACTTAGGTTGTTATTTCCTGACACCCAAGTTGTCATTTTCGTATGCTCAAATTGTATTTTACTTAAACTGGAGTTGTTATTTTCTTATGCTTGAGTTGTCATTTTCCTTTGACAAGTTATCATTTTCCTCTACTCAAGTTGATACCAATTATTAAATATATATATATATATATATATAAGATTTTACACTATTATATTGACCAGTATAAGTGACCCAATGGTTACCAAATATTTTGGGAACAAGCATGTGTTTTAGCAACAAGCAGTGGTGGTCGGGAGGTCTCTAGTGGAGGCTGGCTAGAGCTTTGACGACGGTGGTGGATGAATGATATATATATGTATATATATATATTTTTTAAAAAATAAGGCAAGACTATTTTTGTAATTGTAGAGGGATTTGGGATTTGGTAGCAATTTGTACATTTTGGGGGGTTTGAGGGTAATTGAATTAGTTGGCCAGGACTTCACAATAATTCTCCCTAAAAACTATTGGTTATTTTGTTATAGTAGCTCCTAAGGATATTACTGTACGTTCTCTCAGGAATATTTTTGCATACTTGACTCTGCTCTTGCCTATAAATTGAGATCTCCTCCACATTTGTAATGTAACAGAGTGCACTTTGAAGAACACAAATTCTCTTCCCAATTTCTGAATTTTCTTCCTCATTTAAACGGTTTGATAACTTATCTGTTCTATAAGATTTGGCTTAGAGTAAGATTCCTAATATTTGTTCAATGCACGAACTATTATTATATAGTATTGGACAGATGGTGATTTGGCCTGGATTACAAGCCTTGGTTATGGCCATAGGGATTGAGGGGAAATGGTTTTTTTTTTTTTTGTTTATTTTAATTTTTTTTTTAATGTGTAGAATGTTGAGAAAATAGGGGGAGCAGAAGCTTAAGAAAAAAAGAAGAGACAGTGTATAAGAGACTGACCCACAGATTGTCTCAATACATGTGAAAAGGGAAACACTTATGGCATACTATACTTTCCCAAGTTCTTAATGTCTTATAAGGCTATTAAGGAAGGAAACAGAGAGACCAGACGGTTCAGTAATCCTCCTACAATGAACAACCATAAAAAGGAACCACACACACAGAGAGATGATGAGAAACATCATCTCAAAGCTCTCCAATCCCTTTGTATGTAATAATGAAATTGCCCTGCTCCTAGAAAAGCTCATGAGCTGAACCCTTGTTGAAGTAAGAATATCTTTCTCAAAAATCTACCAGTAAGAATCTCTGGGCGCAAATTTGTTTTACATTCCAGCTAAAATGCAATGCAAAACAGCAAAAGTGCAACTCTATCATATTGCTCTCTTTCCTACATCCTTAGTTTGAATTATGTAAAGAGAAAAACTTTCAAATGGTATGTGCTAGTTTATTGTTCCCCAAAATGGCAAACAACTTACTCCATAATCACTGAGCAACCACATGATGAAATTATAAGTGACTGCTATGTAAGTGTTATTGTATGATTGGCCTTTCTCTTTTGCATTTATCTTCAAACTAATGGTCCAGGTACCCTTTGACAGAGGGAAAGTATTATTGTTTATAAGCTATATAATATATCTTCATTGATTTTTTTTTTAGATTGGCTGGCACATTTTCAGAAAGAGAAGTATGTGGAGTGAAGAAATTGTCTTCCATGTCTTAGTTTGTAGTTTGTCTCTTGTTGGCACATTGTGATCCTGATTATATTGTCAACTACTTTTAACAGATGACCGTCGATTACATGAGCAGGCAAAAGAATGACATGTTTATGCAAAGATATGGCTTTTCATCATCTGTGGTAATTGTCCTTCCATTTCAAACTTGATGGAAAAACAATGCACTATAATTTCTTGCTGCTTTTTCCTGAAATCATTTGGCTGGGTCCCTCCAATCTTGTGAATAAGATCTTTAAAACTATGCTAGTTAAAAGAAGTCGGATGCTGGAAGCCCTTTGTTATGGATGTCAGCTATATCATAATTATTTCTGTAACCTGGAAAATTTATTTTGAGATCTCTTTTCAGTTATGATTGGTTCATTTCGGGTGGTCTTTAAGGTTTTGGGAAATTTCAATATATCCAGCAGCACTCTGAAAACTGTATTGGCCTGGTGTGTTCAGCTAGTTGAAGGGGATGCCCACTCAGTTTGAACTTTAAAGTTTGAACTTTGGCCCTATGAAGATGGCAGGCACGTTGCAATTATGCATCAGGCTTTGGATTATACATGTGTGTTCCATTTGAACCCTAGTTTGACCATAGTAAAACTGTACACGACGAATGTCAATTCTAGTTCATTCACCTGTCCATTTTTCAAATATCACAATCATGATAAAAGGATATTCAATCTTGCTAATGATATATCTGTTTCATAATTAGTTTGGTAAATGCTTTCCTGTGATTATCAAGATTCATGAACTGTAAGCCCAAATCACTTCAATTTGCAGAACCCTTGGGATGAGATCAAATTCTCTGGAGATGCACGGATACATTTGGATTCCTTCTTGTCCGTGTTCAATATATCTGGCCTTCCTGAAGAGTATTATCATAACAGTAGGTCAACTTACTGGGATCTGCTTTCTTGAATAATTTAGAGTTAGCTAGCTAATTTGTCTCTAAATTGTTAGGCTATTTATTTTCAGTCTCTGAAGTTAGTGAATAATGACTAAAAGATGATTAATCCTGTTGACATTTTCAAGTCACTATACAAGAAGATCAATATGTGGCCAATTCATGCTAATGATTAACTTATCCATTCACTAAACGTATAGGGGCCAAATTTTTTTTTTCCTTCCTATGTGTTGGCATTAATAAGAAATGGTGTGAATTTTGTGGCAGCTCTTCTATCTAAGGAGGGCGATACGTTTGTTGATGGAGCAGTCATTGCTGCAGCACGGACGCTGCCAACTTGGTCAGATGGGGATATACCTCCAATCCCTAGTGTGGAACGGAAGGCTGTGAAGGAGTTACAAAATGAATGCCAACAAATGCTTGCAGAATTTCCCACAACCTCCAAGCAAGACCAAAAATTGATAGGCAAGTTTTTAAGGAAACCATATCAGTTCTTATTTTACGCCAAAATTTCATCTTTGAGATCTTTTATCAGCAAGACTTTCAATTAAGAGCGGTCGATCCCAGTAAGCATTTCAAGATTTGAATGCCGAGCCCTATTTAAAAAGGGTTTGGAAAGTCCCTGCCCAGCCCAATTAAGGCCTCGAATGGCCAACCTCATAAGCAACTACACTTCAGGAAAGAAAGGGTCATTCATCGGACGGTTGTGTTGGACTTGATACTACACTTCATATTGAATGTCTGGTTCACAGGACCTGCCTCATATTCATATTGACACTTGCTGCAAGAAGGCCACTTTATTCATGCTTCTACTGTCTTTGCTCTCCTAATATTTTTATGGTAATAAGTACTTTTGGGCTAATGTCACACACTAGGTTGAATTGAGCCTGCTACGAAGTTCTAGCTCAAATTTGATGTGCCTGTTTGGTCTTAAATTTGAGTTTCTTTGTTGATAAAAGCTAATACTTTGCTTAAATATTTTATTCCTCAGATTCAATGCAAGATGCTACCAGGCCACTTGAAACTGCAATAAAGTATGTCAATTTCACATCATCAAGCAGTTCCATAAAATTCCTTAAATACTGTTAATTGGCTGGTGAAATCCTCGTTTTAATAGCCTTCATTGTGAACTTTGCATGAGCAGGTACAGATTGCACAGGAAATTGTTCATAGAGAAAGTCATCCAAACATTGGACATCTATCAGGAGAGATTGCTCTTTTGATCTCAAGTCACTAAATTGTGTTATTTTTGTGAAGGAAATTTTGTGACTTCCATTGATTATACGGACAATGCTACTGTGTCCATGAGCTGTATACTTAGGTTATCCATGCTTCTCTTTCTGTGATCTTTACTCTTTCTACTCCTTCATGATGCCCTGGTGAATTGAAATGGTATATAACAAGATGTGATGTAAAACTGGAACGAATTAAACAAAATAAAGTTAATTAAGGCATCTAAATAAAGGTCAACGTGATATCAACGTGTCCCTTGGCTTGAAAACTTTTCTTAATAATCTCTAATAATAATCATTTCCATTTTAGAACCGTTGACATAAACGTCTCGAGCTTTAGATGATTTGGTGGGGTGTTCACGCTCTTGGGTGTAAGGCGGTTGTTTCTGCTTCATGGTTGTTCTTTCTTTTTCTTTCTGGTTTGTAGTTTGTGTTCCTTAAGGTGCTGTTCCTGGCCTTTTATTCCTCGTGCTTCTCTTGATCAGTTTGTTTTGTGAGAAAGCAAATAGGAGAGAAAGGTGCCAAACCTTTTGGATGGTTTGGACAAAAAGAATTCTATTCATTATATAAAGCATTCGGTAACACCTTGGGTAATACAGATGAGACACATGTAAAAAGAATCTTTGGCCTATACAGATATTATAGGACATATGACTATATCTGGAAGAGCATATACACGATAAACTAATTACAAGATTAGCAACTTAATTCTCTGCTCTAACATGCCCCCTCAAATAAGAGGGTGTGATGAACGGTCCAATTTTCCAACGAAACTCTCAGAATTGAGGGAATGATAGAGCCTTTGTTAGACAGTAAGCTATTTGATAAGATGATGGCACATATCGAACGTCAAGTGAGCCTGCTAAAACCTGATTATGAATGAAACGAACATCTATCTTAATATGCTTGCTTCTAGCATGTTCAACTGGATTAGACACAAGTACATTAACATTAACATTGTCACACCAAATGACTAGGGTTTGGCGAGGTAAGAAACCAAAGTTTACACAAAAGAGAACACAACCATTTCAACTCTGCAGCCCCACCAGCCAACGACCTATACTCTGACTTAGTACTAGATCTTGACAGCATGTATTGCTTTTGGGAAGCCCATGACACAAGTGAACCCCAAGATAAACACAAAACCCAGTCATGGATTTTCTAATCAGCAATATCACTGGCGCAGTTAGCATCTGTAAAAGCCATTAAATATAACTTGGAATATGGTCTCAACTGTGTGCTAAAATGATAGGCTCCTTTGAGATACCTAAGGATTTGCTTCACAGCCTCAGAATGAATTGTAGTTGGAGCTGAAAGGAATTGATTGAGTTTGTTTACTGAGTAAGCAATATTTGGCCTAGTTGTTGTAATATATTGTAGAACACCAATGGCATGCCTATACTCACTGGGATCCTTTAAAAGTTCACTATCAGAAGTAGAAAAATGATAGCCAATAACCATAGGTGTGGTCACAGGAGCATAATCAAGCATATTAAACCTTTTTAATACATCTAATGTGTATTTTCTTTGACTTAAATAGATACCTATTTGATCGCAACAGATTTCGATGCCAAGAAAAGTGTAAGGGGCCAAGATCCTTCAAAGAAAACAAACAATTCAACTTTTCTATGAAATTCTTGAGATAAGTTGAATTATTTCCTGTCACAACAATATCATCAACATAGATTAATATGAACACAGTCAAACTACTAGTCCGAAGCATAAATAAAGAGGTGTCACTTTTGGAATTTTGAAATCCCCATTAAAGAAGAGTGAGTCAAAGTCGATCAAACTAGGCTCAGGGAGCCAGTTTCAAGCCATATAGCACTTTAACAAGCTTACAAACATGAGTTGGGTATCTTGAATCAAGAAACACCTCAGGTTGTTTCACATAGACATTCCCCTATAGAAACCCATTTCAAAAAGCATTGTTTACATCTAGTTATCTGATTTCCCTCTTAAATGTAACAACGATGGTAAGAATTACATGAATCGTTGCCACTTTGATGAGTGGGATGAATGTTTTGTTGTAATAGACTCTGACTAACTGCTAAAATCCCTTTGCAACTAATCTCGCCTTGTATTGTTGTAGAAACCCATTGGCATTAAATTTTTTTGTAAAGATCTACTTATAATCCACGACCTTCTATGCTTTAAGAGTTGAAACTATTGGCATGTATGATTGTGTTGAAAAACAAAAAAATCTTCTTGCATTGCTTGTTGCCATTAAGGAGAATGGAGAGCATCGCTTGCACAAAGAGGGTTCAACTTTTTGAGAGAGTGAATTGGGGTCTTCTACTTAAAGCAACTCAACAAATGGGTATTTAGGCTTGTGAATGCCACTCTTACCTTGTGTGACCATTGGATAAACATTAGTAATTGTTGTGTTAGGCTCATTTGACATTGTAGGCAACCCACTATTAAGTGAACTGGATAAGGATGAAGAGTGAAGCATGTAATGTGTAACATCCTACATGTAATGCATCAAAGTAAGGAATAAAGGTGCCTAAGTATGGTATTCTATGTTATAAAGCTGCAAGCGATTGTACACCTTATGAGAAGCCTTTGATGCACATAAAGATGAGTAAAATTAGAGTGCAACCTTTACTAGGCAATAAATTAACGAGAAAAGGAAGACAAGAATTTATGCACGTTTTACAATGTAAAGAGAAAAGTGTTTATGTGCATCGGTAATGAGAAATAAATATTATTTTAATGTACATAAATCAAGGACATGTTTCATGAGCAGCCAACGTTTTGGTATGCAAAATGAGTAACGTGCATCCAGCCTGAGCAAAATGTCTAGGAAAATTATCCTGACCAAATTTTATGAAAGTATGTGCAAAAGCATGTATCCGGTAAGCACAATTCCTAATGAATCCAGTAAAAGCATGTATTTGGGAAAATTCTTTCTCCCCAAAGTTCTAGAATTGCTCGAGCTATAATTGAGATTCTTCGAAACACCACCCACTAGACCTAAAGAGGATGAAAACCTCCCCATACTGTCTCTCTTCCTTTCTGCCTTTGCCTCCCTATCCCTCCTAGTAGCCTACTCTTAACCTGTGACACATTTCCTTATATGTTGTCATGTCGAGCAAAGCAATTTGCTATCAATACTCAAGGCATATCTTCTCTAACAATCTCTCTATTTTTCATCTTGTGTCATTACTATGATACAGATAGGTAGAATAGACTAACAGATCATTGAATCTTCGAATGAATTCCTCATCATCTAGACCCCTTTATCTAAATGCATGAAATTCTTCTTCTTTCTCTTTATGAAAGGAGATCGAACAGTAGTAGTCAAAGAAAATCTTCTTAAATTCTTCCCACGACAACCTTGCACCACCAAACAATCTTACTAAATCCTAACATTTATTAGCTACTCTAACTAACTATATTGTTGCTAGGTCATCTTCTGCTCTGATATGCAAATCACCACCTCAAATATTGTCTCAAGGCACTCTATCCATAACTCAACCTCACCGTTCTTTATATTGTCATTGAAGGTTGGTGGACTGAACCTCACAAATGTCTTTCATGCTTTATTAATAAATGGGTCTATATAACTTCCTTCTATATCCTCCTGATATAAGAGAAGATTAATAGAATTACCACTTAAATACACAATCAATAATCAAAGAATTTAGTTCGAAAAGCTTCAACCCAAGACATGTTTCATAGAATCATCAATAGTCATAATACATTAGAGAATACACAGTAGAAAAGACTTATATACATATGTCGAGATCATTGCATGCATTTGTTTTCACAATATCAAGTCAAAAAAGGGTTTGCAGTATGTGGCACAGAGCCACATGCCCAACTTTTTTATACCATACACTGCGGCATGTGATACCATGTGTTACGGCATACTTGTCCAAATTTCTACTATCATTTTAATAGCAAAATGATAAAATTTCGGCACACGCCATTTGCACATATGACATCCGATCAGAGTGATTCAAGTACCCACATGAAGCTTATTTCATAAGCTAGCTAACGAGATAAGTTTAGACACGATTTGATGGTCTAATTAACATTTAGACACCTGGGTACAAAAGGTCACTTTTTTTTGAAAATTTTACGCACCTAAGCTCTCAAATCGATCCCATTCTCTTATTAGACCACATAAGGCTTTAAATCAAGTCTAAAATGACCTAATATGCTTGATTGAATATAATATATCACATATATACATTTATATCGATATTTGACCACTAAACGGTCAATTTCTACATTTCTAACTTTTTCATAATCTAACACATTTTAACTCATCTTAGCCTTCTTGGACATTTTCCTCAACACATTCACATAAAATCACATCCATAACATATTTACAATATAATTTTAGCCCCAAATTACTCATTTTATCATAATTTTACACTTGGACTTAAGATTCACCAACATTAACCACAATTTCAACACAAACATACTTAAGTCATAGCCCTTGTTTCATGTCATCATAAAAATACACAATTAGGCTAAGATTTCACAAAATCATTACTTAAAACATGCATGCAACCTTATGGCAACTCATTTACACATATATATACAAATTATCAGTTCATTACATAATCTCTAGAATCACATGGCTTCAACAACTCAAGCTAGCCTAGACTCTCTACCCTTGCCCTAACCGTTGCTTTATCCTGTAAAAATATAACCACAGGGGTGAGATAAAAATCTCAGTAATAGAATAACTTACTCCTATTGACTATCACATGCATTTCTATGAAAGTAAAGCATATAATAAACCATTTAAACCTCATTAACATGGCATATATTACAAGTTCCACTTAAATCACATTAATGTTTCACATTTCACCTCTTTACACCACTTTTTACCACTTTACTAGCACAAGCATCACATAGCATTACATAGCATAATCATTGCCAACTGAATCTCCAAATCACCTCGACACGAAATCATAGGCTCGCCATAGACTAATGTACACTTTCATTGGCCCTAAGCTTAACTTTAGTATTAGAATAACCTGACCAAAGGTATTCTATCTCACTTTTAGACTATGATTTCTCCTAATACACACAATGAGGTGTCGTTGACTCCAACATTATATCACACAGATACTAAGGAGTTCTATATCCACCATAC